AAAAAAAAAAAAAAAAAAAAAAAAAAATTGTTTCTTTAGGTTGACGATGTTGGGGTAGAATTACTTGGGCATGCCTGTCATTCCACTAGTCCTCTTCTAGAAACAGCTGGACAGAGGGCAGCAGAGACAAAGTGGCAAGAGACAGACACAGCAAAAGGGAGAGTCATAGAAGCAGAGATAGAGGGCAAAATGGAAAGAGAGGAAGAGACAGAGACACAGAACAGAGAAACAGAGGCAGAGGGAGGGAGAAGCTGTCTTATTCGCTCATGGCACCACCTCCCATAGAGCATGGCACTCTTTTGTTTCTGTGGGATCTCTGTATCCATACCAGAGACCCTCTTTTTCATTCATGCTAGTTTGAATGGATAGATATCTTCTCAAGGAAAGAATTTTGACTAGAACAGTTATCAAATGCTTTTCCTTTTATTGCTTGGGGAAAGCACCCAAGTCTTAAAAGTGTTAATTACTCAAGAGGATAATGATGTGGAACTCAAGAACACACATATATATACACAGACATATACTATACATATAACATATATAGTATATATAATTTTAAAATATATCTAATTAAATAAAACATTGTGAATTTTATATATATTTACACACCCACGCATATACATATCTCCCCTCTAAGAAGCAGAAAATATTATTGTGAGACTCTCTGGCCTCAAGCTCACATCATGAAAATCATCTATTTGCAAGCTGAAGAACTTCAGTCCCTCAACAAATGCTAAGGTGTTAACACCAACTGCCTCTGGCTTAACTTATAGTTAAGTTCTCCTGAAAGCCTGAAATATATGAACATGTGGCCCTAAGGATTAGTATGACTGAAAAGGATTTTATATGGCCGCATAAATATATATCCTTCTCTTTAATGGTTTTAAAAGCATGGAAATGGTTCTGCTAATTCTCAGGTTTGTTGACAGTAGCAAAAAATACCTGTACCCAGGGTACTTAGAATTCATAATACATAATATGTCATCTGTCAGGTTGCTACTGGCCCTAAAACCACTGTGTAACACAATAAATAAGTCAATTGATAAGCATAAATATTTTTCTCCTAGTTGTCTTCATGGAATTTCTGTGTCCTAGAAGAATAATGAAGTCATTCATTAACCCAATTATTCAATAAGCATTCGTGGAACACTTTATATGTATCAGGACTGGGTACTCTGTTTAACACAAGAAATAAAAAAGAAAATTAAAAATGGATAATATTGAGAAAGTTCCAAATCAGAGGCTTTGGTGTTCTGCCTCCAAATATAAGATATTGATTCTGTCACAGGTAAGCAGATTACCTCACCAAAAACAAGAAATAAAAAACGTTTGTATACAATTCAACATACATTCTTTGCTATGTACCCTGTGTCTATTAATCTTGATGGTCCTGTGGGAAATATTTTTTAAATTCTTATTTTTGCAAAGCATTTAACAAAGTTTCATATTCCATCTTGTGATGAAAATGGAAAAATGTGGGTTAGAGATCTTACATTGAATCCTATTTTTAGAGTGAACGATTCAACAAATATTTGTTTTCCTATTACTGTGCACTTCCTGTTGTGAAATTATCCAGAAGAAAAAGACTAAATCCTGGCTGTCAATGAGTTTATAATCTGTCATAGGAGGGAGACGGCTATGATCAGAGTACAATGTAGCAAGTAACAGCGGCATAAAAATGTGCAGACAAATTGCACTGGAACCTCAGAGGGAGGATAAATCATTCCGGACGGTCAAGGAAGACTAGGCATTTAGTATTTAGATCCGCTTTTATAGGAGAGGAGAATTTCAACAGACAGAGATATGAATACAAAGTATTCCAGCCAAAGGGAATACATGTAGAAATCCTATATGGAGGGGAGAACAGTTCAATTTGACTGCAGACCAGCTATATCATCACTATTATGGAGAATCCTAAACATTGGAAATTTGAACTTGATATTTTAGGCTTAGGAATCAGTAAGGATTTTGTATTGGGGAAAGGCAAACGGTGCTCAGGTATATTGGTATTAGCTTGGAGAGGAGTTCTTGCTGGCACTTTTTTCATGTCTTGAATGGAGATATAAAAGGCCTGCTGCCAGAAGAGGAAACTGTGGTTAGGGGAGGTTAACAACCCATGGCGGGTTACAAAAGCAATTAATAGCACTTTGAACTGGGACATACACCCAATCCATTCCTCATAGTACAGTGATATGTACCCTGCTACACCGAGTCCACAGCAAGCCATTATGAGGCCAAGCTGGAAGAGGCAGTATCTCTATTTTACTGATGAAAATTTTAAGAACTACACAGATCAAGCCACTAGCTCCGCTCACACAAGTAAGCAGGACAGATGGGAATACAACCTGCACTCAGGAGTCCTCAGGACACCTTATTTGCACATTCTCCTACCATGAGCTAGATAACCACACTCCCCTGGCATTCTTCCAAAATTAAAGAAACGTCAAAATTGGGGAAGAAGGACATGGGCAGCCTAAAGCGCTTTTTTTTGCCTCTATCCTTCCCCTGACCTTTATAAAGATAATTCAGACTTACGGTTGTTCTGCAAGAGCTTGTCCAGGGAATCACGCCACTGCAGGGCCTTGTCCAATGAGGGTCTAAATCAAGTATTAAGAAAGAAAAAGGAGACAGCCATAAGAAGGGAGTTAATCACATACAGCAGCAATGACTTGGATTTGCTTTTCTTTGAAATGTTACAATTGATGACCCATTCTCAGGACAAGGGAGTTAGAGCTGTTTTATTCTGAACAAGTGGGTATGATGAGCTGGGTTTGCTTGCCTACATCTATCTTGCATATTTTCATCTCTTGTTGAACAATTGGGTTAAGCCTCTCCCTTTTCAGAAGCAGAGTCTATTTGTCATGAAGCCACGTCTTGATATTCTTGTGTATCCCATAACAGTGCCTCCAATTGTGGTCTTTTTTTCCAAAAGTAACTGAATAAAATCCAGTTGTCCCATTATAGGGCTTGAACTCATGTTCCCTGCTTCACTAGTGCCGCACTTTAAACACCAACTTAATCCGCAAAGGGCGTCAGATTCCACATCCACAGCCCTTCACCGCCTTATTGGGATTGATGGAAGATGCAAGGTGTGAAGCTGCCTCGTGTTCACAGGAAGTCTACATTTTAAAAACTCTGGGTGCATTTTCCTGTCTAATTAGAACAGGATAATTTTTTTTTTTAAGATTTACTCTTTCTGAGACGAGAAGTGGTTAGACACCGTGCAAAGGAACGTTGTACACAAATTCTCAGGATGCTGAAGGTACTAGTTAACACATAATTCCCCCTTAGGCTGTTTTTATTTTAACGTTTATATATGCAGAAACCCTGCAGCTCTTTCGTTTTAACTACCAATTTTTCTTTCACAGCAGAATTGTGTCAAGGCGGGCTGGTACTGTCTGGGAAAAATGGCTGACTGTGCTCTCCCAGGGCTCCCCCCTCAGCCCCAGCTCTCACTCTTGTGTTACAATGTGAGTTCTTCGTTGTCAAATCAAAACAGACTAACAAGGCATTTATTAGAACATTAAGGCCAATGAAGGTGTTTTTCCTAAATTGGAATTTCCTTAGCTCTTAACTTGGTGATCAGCTCTTCAGACAACCCAGGAAAATTCCTGCTTCTGGCTTTTAAAAAAATAATATCTTAGGGCTTTAATTCTTTAGGTTATCAGTGAGATTGATAAGACTGTTGCTGATTCTCCTTTTCATTTTCCTCTTGAGGCTCAGAGTCAGCCTCACTTTATCTATGTAAGGAGTGCAGGATGGCAGTAGATTTTTTGGCTAAAATGCTGTGACTAATTCCTTCCATTCTCTATTCCTCACTGTGGAGCATGTGCAGATTTTGAGTCTTAATTATACGACTTTCCATAAAGTTTTACGCTTTTACTATTTGAAGGTTAAAACATGCCAATACTGAGAGTAACAAACCTGGTGGAATAATCCTAAATGGTTTCATTTTCCTGGCTAGAAACGTATGTATCATAGATCAAAAACTCAACACTAATTCCTTGGAAATTTATTTTTAATGAGTGAACTACTTTCTCTCCTCCCGTTTTCTTCTGGCTAGTGTAAAGGAACACAGGGAGGAGAAATGACATGAGGAAGGAATTACAAGCATGCCCATATATTTTTCTGCCTCATTTTATTTCTAACAAGAAAAAGAGCTATTTTCTAGAGGTCAATAACTCCTTTTGGCTCTTCTATATTACTTCATGCTGAGAATTTTTCCTATGTATATATTATTTTGTACCAACATTTTTAGCACAGTCTTACGAATCTTAATTTCTTCACTATAGTGGGTTCCATGTTGTACATATGACACCCGCCAAGTCTTTATTGTTGACAGAAACAACAAGACATTAAATAATTGAACAAAAGAAACAGAGCAAGGGGAAGGCTGAATCGCCTTCTGATTTTGTAAATACCCCTCGTAAAATGAAATCACCTTCCTGCCTTCCATTTCCTCTGGCTAGTATGGAGGGGCACAGGAAGAAGAAATGGCCAGAGCAGGTACACTGAACTTAAGCATGTTACCAGATCCAAGCTGTCCCAAATGGTCTTGTTAGAACCAGACTAATGGTCACAATCAGCAGTGCCTCACAGCCAAGATTAAATTCCTGAAAAGGATATGTGCAGAACCCGCTTGGGGGTAATATTAGTCCAAATTGTTTCAAGGACACAATCAAGCAGAACACATCCTCCACACCTCGAAGCCCAGTATTCTGATTCCCAGCCTAGGAGGTGCCACAGGTTCATCCTGTCCTGATTCTCAGAATCTGCCATTAAGTCTGAATCCTTTGAAATGAGATAGATGCAGATCTAAATGACCAATAAGTGTCCTGGTTTGCAAGGTCATAGCTGCCCACAGGGAATGAGCATGGAGCTTCTGTGTGTGGGTGTGGAGGGAAAGAGGAGCCCAGTTCAAATGAAAGGCAAAATAAACATTTATAGAGATGATTAACTGTTTTATAATGGCCAGTGTAAATGCCATTTGGTCCAGGAAGTAATGATCTCAGCTGGAAGTGTTCTCTCCCTCTTTACTGTACTCTTACCACATTTACATCTTGAATCTCCTACAAGGCAATGATGCACTAACTGCCTGGAGGTATAGCTTGTCAGCCATGGAGAGCTTTTCCCATTCTACCCTGTCCGACAGTGCGTTCCCTGCAGCATTCATCTACCCAGCAATATGCATGTCAGATTAATGTGTAAATTAATAACGGTTCAGTTTGCTCAGAGCTAGTCTGGTTGATGAAAGCCACAAATTACCCAACACTTAGAGTACAGAAGTTTTAGCCCCATGAACCATGACTACAGCTATAAGCAACTCTGGCATTTACTAACTCTCACCTTGGGAGATTATTTTAACCTCTCTAAGCACCGGTGGTTTTCTTTTTTGTTTTCTTCCTTTTTAAAAATATCTACACAGTCCCTGGCATACATTTAAACACTCCTGATAATGTTTTCACGTGCTCTCGCCCTTGACAAGGAAAGTGAAATCCAAGTTATTTATTGGCACTTAAGTGCCTGTTCAGTTCTCCCTTCCTTCCTGCAACGTGTCTGCTCATGTCCAGTCTCAAGTTCATGGACATTTATTGAGCCCTGCCCCCAGGGCCAACAGTGACCTGGGCACCATGGATGGGAATGCAGATAAATACACCTGCCCCTTTTTTTGTTTTTGTTTTTGTTTTAACATCTTTATTGGGGTATAATGGCTTTACAATGGTGTGTTAGTTTCTGCTTTATAACAAAGTGAATCAGTTACACATATACATATGTTCCCATATCTCTTCCCTCTTGCGTCTCCCTCCCTCCCTCCCTCCCTATCCCACACCTCTAGGTGGTCACAAAGCACCGAGCTGATCTCCCTGTGCTATGCGGCTGCTTCCCACTAGCTATCTACCTTACGTTTGGTAGTGTATATATGTCCATGCCTCTCTCTCGCTTTGTCACAGCTTACCCTTCCCCCTCCCCATATCCTCAAGTCCATTCTCTAGTAGATCTGTGTCTTTATTCCCGTCTTACCCCTAGGTTCTTCATGACATTTTTTTTCTTAAATTCCATATATATGTGTTAGCATATGGTATTTGTCTTTCTCTTTCTGACTTACTTCACTCTGTATGACAGACTCTAGGTCCATCCACCTCACTACAAATAACTCAATTTCGTTTCTTTTTACGGCTGAGTAATATTCCATTGTATATATGTGCCACATCTTCTTTATCCATTCATCCGATGATGGACACTTAGGTTGCTTCCATGTCCTGGCTATTGTAAATAGAGCTGCAATGAACATTGTGGTACATGACTCTTTTTGAATTATGGTTTTCTCAGGGTATATGCCCAGTAGTGGGATTGCTGGGTCATATGGTAGTTCTATTTGTAGTTTTTTAAGGAACCTCCATACTGTTCTCCATAGTGGCTGTACCAATTCACATTCCCACCAGCCACTTTTTGATGTCTATCCATGGGCCAAACATTGTGCTTCCATCTTTAATCTGCACAGTAAGGCTCACTCTGCAGTTTACCAGGCCGGAGTGTATGTAGGACAACAGTTTGTAGTGGTTCTCCCCCGTGCACAGGCTAGGGGCTGTTTATGTGTGGAGGTCATTCTAGAGTTATAAAGTGGCAAAACAACAGCAACAACAAAAGATAGTTAAAATTAGTGACATCAACAGACAGTAAATGAACATCTAGAATATAAAATAAACTATAAAATAATCTACACCAGCTCTTGAGTATTTTGCAATTGATTATATTATGAGCCATGATAATAGTTACTGTAAACTAAATTTACATGGTCTTGTAACATCTTTATTTTTCATTATGAGGACCTATAGCAGAGCCTTAGGGAATTCTCACATATAGAGGGTGGACAAAAGTGAGAGCCCTTAGAGAGAGAGAAGGCAGCGGGAGAATTCCAAATTAGAAGTTAAGGTGGAGAGTTTTAAGGTGGCCAACTGGTGAGCAGAGTCAAATGCTGTCCATGAGTCAGGAGTTAGCCCTTGGTGATGATGGTTTCAGTTAGGTAGTAAGGTTTAGACCCGACAAAAGGAGTTAAAGAAGAAATTGAAAGCAGTGACTTTCCATTTCTAGAGTTTTCCAGCGTAAGCAAGAGGAAGAGATATGAGTAGAAGGGGTGAGGGGCTGGGAGGGTGTTTTTCAGAGTGGAATATGGTACTTGTTTGTTCTAGTGGAAGAGGGTCTAGAGGGAAAAAGAACAGTTAAGAATACTAAAATGGTAACAGAGGCTGGCCTTGGGTGGTAGGGATATAGGCAACGTTTTTCTATTTTTTTAAATGGTTCAATTTTTTTCCTAACGAGAAGAATAAAAATATATTTAAAAAAGAGAAAATGCTTTTTTAAAAAGGGATTGCTTTTTTTAAAAAGATGAGAGGAGTTAAAAATACCTTCCATCCGGAGAAGGTCTATTTTCTCCTCTGAGATTTATCTTCTTCTCCTTGAGAAGAATGTGGGTAAAAAAAAATACAGAGAAACTTTTAAGTGAGGAGAAGCGAGATCAGCTGAGTTCCTGCAGAACACAGTCTTCTCCTGCTTGTTAAAAAGCATGGAAATTTGCCAAATATGAGTGAAATGGGGTTTACGAGTTTGGAAGAGGATAGGAAAAATTTGTAATGGTCACTGTTAAAAATGCAGTAGAGATGCACAAATATTCTCTAGGGATAAGAAAGATTTTTCCAAAACAATTCAAACTTCTGGATGAAAAAGGGGGCTAGAAGACAAGAGGAGAAAATAATCCAATGAGTGTCAGCCCCAAGTTATCTTCCAAAACTTCTTCTCTCCAAATCCTTGTTAAGCCAAATAGTTCAAGTGTCTGTGTGGGATATTAAAGCAGAGAATCAAAGGAGGAAATGTAGCACTGTATTTATTTTTTAAAAGTTAATTCCAACAGATCAATAACCACCACAATGTTTATTTCAAAATAGACTTTTTGATCTTTTGCTCTTATGAAATGTGGTTCTTATTCTCTCCCAGTGCCTGGTGCCTGCCACTCCACATTGAATTAACTTCCCTTTTCTAAGCACAGACAACTCAATTATGCCTCATTTCTGGTTTGGGATCACTTTGAAGTAATATAAGGAGAGTGGAAACATCCACTTAGATTGATGAAAAAAATTTAAAAGGAATAACCTTTCTCTCTATCCCCCAACCAATCCTGTTATATTAATTTGAAGGTCATTTGGAGAAAAGATTGGCCAATTTATACAAATATTAAATTTTAAAAGAAATGGAGGTTAAAAGGGATTCCTATATTTTTACCACACTTCTGTGATCTCTTCAAAGCTTTTAGGTAGTAGAGTGAAGGGGTTTGAATACATTTGGCTTTTCTTCTTCCCACTTTCCTTTCTTGATTTTAGTGGTGCCTCTGTTTTAAAGGGAAGATGGAGTGTATCTGTCTAGTCAATGTCGGGCTGTGTAGCTAGTGGCACAACGGTAAACACCGTGAACGTTGTGAGTAGTGTTATTAAGTTAGCGTAATGCCAATGAAATTGTGGGCTATGTTCACTGCCATAACATCGTGAATATTCAGAATTACAGCTTCCCTCTATGCCTAAATTGATAGAAGTATGTTGGTGCGTGGTTAGGGACTGCAGAAGTCCTGTCAGGACTATTAATTTATGGACTGGGGGAAAATTGCTTGACGTGCATTAAATAGGAGTATCTGGTCAAGTATTCATTCCTCCACCAGGGAACAGTCCTCTGCTCCTCTTTTAGACCTTGAAGGGACAATACCTTGGAGAAGAAACCTTTAGGCTTAATAGTCTGCCTTGAACTTAGCCTCTTCTTGAGGGAAATGTCACCACTTGTATCTCCCTGCTGAGGAAGTAGCTCTCAAGATATTTCCTGAGCAGGTGAGCATCCAGGGATCATAATTAATTGGATCAGCAATGCTCACCTGACCCAAGGACAGCAAGTGAGCAGGTATTTTTAACCACACTTCTGTGTGATGAAGTGGCTGGTGCCATTTTATAAGACACGGCCTGTTTCTCCAATGATGTCACAATACGTGGCCTTATCTTCATTTTTTAAGCATCCTGCCAGTAAGCAATATTATGCTCCATACACGAGAGAGTGAAAAAAAATCCTATTCACAAACCAAGTCTCTGAGTACTCTTATGATCTTCAATGTGTCACTGAAGGGGGAGAGTTCTACAGAAGAGGGATGGCGCTATACACTTGAAGAATAGCCATCCTCTGGAGGAAAAGAGTGGAATCCATAATCATGACTCACTTCTGGGTCTTGGCTGGTTTCTCCGCCTTCTCAGTGTATGGAATGACAAGGTCAGCAGCAGACTCCGGCTTCTGGAGGAGAATTCCCAACTTGATCTTAATCTCCTTGGCCCTGAAAGAAGAGATGTATGAGGGGAAATGGCCAGCATATTAGCATAAAGATCTAAAAAAGGGATTTCATTCTGTGTCAAAGAAACAAAAATGAGCAAAACCCCATTTCACTGTTGTGGCAGAAAGAATACTAATGTAGAAATTGGGACACGTGAGTTCTAATAACATTTATCAAGCTCTTAACATGTCCCTGGCTAATATGCATTATCTCATTTTAATCTTAATTATTGTTTTATATGTATTCTTTCATGTTATATATGGCAGATACTATAGTAGTCCTATTTTACAGGTGAAGAAACTAATGACAGAGAATTCAAATAACCTAATTAAGGTAACCCAGCCAGTATGTGATGGAAATGGACTTGACCCCAAGCTGTCTGACTTTAAGTTCACAGGTGGAACTCACTGTATTGCCTACCGGTCTTCTGAGGGCTCTGGTCCCAGCTCTGCCATTAATTAGACATATAACGTTTGAAAAAATAATCATGTTTTATTGCCAGACCTCCGTTCCCTCATCTGTAAGATGACAGAGTTAACCTAAATGTTTTTTTCAGCCACTTGCACCTATAAAATTAAATTATTCTGCTTGATGATTACTTCTCTGTAAACTGTTCTTCTTTTATACAGATTTGGCTTTTTCCCAACCCCTTGCCCATTGTTCCACAATGGCTATTGTAGTATCTTACACGCAGTAAGCCTTCAATAGATGAGTATTAATTACCAACAGACTGACAGAATCGTATTACTCCTTTCTATCTTCAACATTTTAGTGAACAGACATGGTCAGAATTCTGGGCACTTCTCCACCCTAGAATGCAACTGTTTTCATGCCCAGTTCAAAACTAATCTCCTAAGTTACCCATCATTTTATCACAAGTCTGAATTCAAAAACACCAAGAAGATCTTAAGCATTAATCCATAACACAAGCCATTGTATACTGAGAGACCCAAAAAGCTGTCCTTTCACTGTCCCCTTGGCACTTCATACATGCTTTTAAGATAGGGCTTATCACACTGCATTATGGTTACTGATTTATGTGTCTGTTTTCCAAGCTGGATATAAGAACTTTTTGCAGGTGGGAATTGAGTCTTAAATACCTTTTCAACCCTGTGCATAGCACAAAGCTTGGAAGCATAGTCAATATTCAAAAATATTTGCCAAAGTGAACTAAAAATATCTTGATTTTTGTTCCTCACAAATCTGCCGACATTTATTTCCCGGTCAGTGCTGATCATAACCGAAGCCTTACAGAGCTGTGTCGGGATTAGGATATCATGCTGTTGCCAGATAGAGTTTTGTTACTATAAACACACTTTCCTCATCCATTCACACGGAGACAGTGATGAGACAATTTAAATAAATAAAATGTGTGACGTTAGCAATTATGGATATTAGGGAGAAAAAGTTAAGGACATATACTGTATAACTTAAAAAAACATAAATATTCAATCATATCATAGGTTCCTTTAGTATAGTAAATGTTATTTTGAAACTCTGATTTAGAATTAGTAACCTCCACAATGTCTTTTCCTTTTCGTTTCTTCCTGCCTCTGTTCTCTCCCTAGGGCCGCTCTCCAGCTTAAGACAACTCAGGTACCACATTACAGCAGATCAAGCTCCGCTGAGCACATTACAGCTGAAACAGAATGTTCTGCTGAGGGAGCTTATATAAAACATGAGAATAAGAATAAATGTACTTTGATTCCAGGCTCTGCAATTTGCTTAAACAATCTAATGTTGAGTTTTCTCACCTAGAAAGTGGGACCGATAAAACAGTACATACTTATACAATTTTTGTGATGATTAAATATGTTAATGCATGTGAATCACGTAAAGCAGCAATTGGCATATAATACTGCTTCTTCCAAGTTAGTTCTAACTGCATAATAATTATTTTCCAGCCAAACTCAAGCCATGTTCCCTAGCTTTGACTACCAAATTAAAACATTCAGAAATTTCCCACATGTTACTAAGAATTAATACGCCCACTGCCTCCCATATTCTACCTCTGGAGACAAGAACTGCCAACTTTATATTTATCTGAAGGATGAAGAAAACAGTATTTGGGAGGGAAAATGCATGCAATACATGTGGCTACCCTCTGCTGGCCAGTGTATAGTACTACAGCCAGAAGCAGCAGGTTCATCTTTTCCATCAAGACACGCGATCCCACCCAGAACTTGAAGAACTCCACCCATAATACCTCTTCTGCTTGCTCCACATGCCCCTCAGTTCCTGCCCATAAGGGGAAGTCGTGAAGCAACTGTTTGAGTTTCACTTGACCCAATAGTTCACTCCCCAATATTTAGCTAAAGATTATCTAATGAATGTCTAATGAATGTTTCTCCCGTGCTTGGTAGTTTGGTTGGTTCTTTAGATTTTTGTTTTGCATTTTCTTTCCCCATCTCAACTTCTGTTTCTTTTTTCTTTTCCTCTTTTGCTCCATTTGAGCCATTTGCTTTTGTAAAAGGCAGAGAGATATTTGTGTTTGATTGCCTAGTGAAAAAGTAAGTTGGACATGAACAGGTTATTAGAATGAAGGGGTTGAGCATTGTAAAATTTCATTTATTCATACTACTTTACTCCTTGATCATGTTACTGTGTCATCAGTACACAGTAAACAGACAAACACTCACAGGGTTTTGTCTTTGCCTGCAGGGTACTTATAGCCTATTGAAGTCTCAAGCTTGTGAGCAATCACAAGCAGGTATTAAAGAAGAAGATGCCCAGAAAGCAGCATCTCTCTGGGCATCCAGTGTCCACAAAGGTGAACAGCAGAGCACTGGGGGAGGACCCCAGTGTCCACAAGGGTGAGTCAGTGGGGCTTCTCAGAAGAGGCAGGGGTAGAATAGCAGTTAGCCAGGTAGACAAGAAAAGGCTGGGACTTCCGGGTAGGAAGAGGATAATGTGTATATCATTTGAAGGGATGCAAAAGTGGTTCTGCGTTGCCTGAGTGTAAAGTGTGACTGGAGAGAGAAGAATGCCATGTTAGATGAAGACTGCTCACTCTGCCTCCCCTTCCTGATGGAAGGGTGGATGATGGAGGACCTCTGTATAGTATGCAGCCTTCAGCAAATTTGATATGAAAACCAAAAAAAGGTAAAACTATTGAAAGGTGCCTTCAAAGACTGTCTCTACATGAAGAAGTGGCATCCTGTCTTACAAATCTATTTCAAATTTTTCTTTTGCTAATTCTTTCAGGAAGCATTTTCCCATGAAAACACTGTCTATACATGGTGGTTAAATTCTCCAAGACATCCCACAAAAGACTTTTAAAACTAGAATGAACCAGAATCCTCATATAATTTTATCTATATCACTATTTAAATTGTCTTTTTGTGGGATAATCTAGAAATCAACCATTTATAACGCTGCCCATAGAAAATCAGATTTCACTTCCTCAAAGTAGAGAAACATGCCAGAACACCAGATTACTCTTTTCCTCATACTTGCCCTGGGGATGTAAGGGAGAAAGGAAATGCAGTGCTTCAGAAAATACTTCTCTCTATGGTTTAGTATAGGCTCAAACATAGGACGTTAAAATGTTAACGCACATAAGTCGGGAAGACCATTCGGTTGAATTAGGAGTTTGACAGCATATAGGGAGTGAATAACATTATTGTCTCTCTTATAAAACAGTGAATGTTTAAAAGCTGAAAAGTTGACCAGTGCTGAGCCTGAAACTACTTGAAACATTTTACTCTTTCTGTAGGAATAAACTGTGTTACTACGTTTGTTTTTCTCCTTAAGAGTTCCTGGAATAATATTTCATTCCCCCCTCTCCCTTTCCTCCCCACCATACGGACATATCCAAATATGGGAATGAAAAAAAAAAACAACAAATGGAAAATCAAGCAAAACAAAAGCTCAAAGCTTCCATTTTATTTTCTCCTTTAAAAATAAGCTTGAATGTATCTGACATTCATTTAATGTCAAAAACAAACCCATTCAGAGAAGAAAACTTTTTAATGTGTTTATGATTTCAACTCAGTCCTTGGCTCTGTTTGACCACCCACCAGGCAGTTTTCCTGGCTATATTACATTAATGGCTGTTAACAAGAAATGATTCATATCTCTTCTCATCACACCTCCAACCCTGTTATCCTTTGGTTTTACAAAGAAAAACTTGTTTTGAAATAAAATCATTGGAAATGCCTGGGTGAAATTTTAATTAAGTGTTCAGAGGAAGATAATCCTTTCACTAGATGGCTCACATTAGTGATTTCAAACTGAAAAGAGTTTGAATAATTGTAGGGTTGTGCAATTTTAAATCTGTGCCCTGTGTGGGTATGCTTTCAAAAGGCCCTGGACCACCTCTGTCCTTCCAACTAATTGGTGAATTGAGTGAAAATTATTACCTTAGGGTGAATAAGTGTGGAAAACAGTACAAGCAATCACTAAAACAAAAACATAGCAGAATTTTTAAAAATACAATTATATTCAAGTAAAATTTGTCAGTAACCGCTATATATAAAGTCCTGTGCTAGGTGTTTCAAGAATTACAAAGGTGTTCCTTGCTTCAGAGACACGTGGAACAAGGGAATGTAGGACATATACATGTAAACTATATGCTAGATATTTTTCTACTGATTGATAAAAGTGGAGGGGATATATTAATAAAAGAACATAGACCCTAGCCTCAAGGAGTTCAAATGTGATAACATGAAGATAGTGTAATAGGAGACACATGCTTTAACAGCTGCCCCTACTATATTCTCAGAGGCCTCTGTATTTTTCCTTCATGGTCCTTATCAATTTGCATTATGTCTCTGTGTATTTATTTGAGTCCTGTCTGTCTCTCCCATTAGAATGTCAGGTCCCCAAGAGCAGGATCAATATCTGTTTTGTTCACAGCTCCAGTCTCAGCACTTAGCCCAGGGCCTGGCACTTAACAGACATGCAATAAATGTTTACTATATAAATTGATGAATCAGCAAACGAATGAATGAATTGAATTGCTAGGTTATAGTAAAACTGCATTTTTGGGTGGGTGGGTGAAA